GTCTCTTTTACATCTGTGAATCACTCTTCTGCCCCCCTCTCCACTTTTTGTGACTTTTCTGTTCCTCCCCTCTGTGAAGCCCGAAGTCAACCAAAAGGCGAATGATAACTATCATAAAGCCTGCCATTTGGTGTGAATAAATATCGATTGCTTACTTCATTATTTACTACTTTTTCACCAACTCAATTTGAGCTCTATTTAGCGTTTATCCTTTCTCTGTTCAACCGTCTTTCTTTACCTAATGACCAAACAGCATTCTGAAATTTCCAATGCTGTTGCAAATTCATATTTACCAAGTTCTGTTTTTTTTCACTAACACTGCTGCTGCTGCTGAAGCAGTGGAACGCACATTGAACCACGTCGAGGACAGCAGCCCATGAAAATAATAGCTTAAAGCCTTTTGTTGGGATAATTTCGAAGCGTCTTTATTGCGAAGGACAATAATATTTCCGAATAAAGTTTGCTTCTATGACAGACTATCAATGATCGGACATGTCACAATACACCCAGTTGCTGGCTTATCAGTATGGAGTGTGAAATTACGATTTAAACACAGTTCCTAAAGTCAGGTCGTCACCAGACCATAAACAACCCCCCCCCCCCCCCCAACACATTCAGTTTCTCTATCATCTTACTAGCCGTTAAATAATTCAAGTTGTCTTGATGGTCCTTAAGCCTTGGCTCTTACCTTCTAATGGTCAACTTCCATAGCTTCGGCTCTAATCTTCAGAGCTTGCTACTCATTGTTATCTGTTGAATTGCAATATTTCTGCCATTAACTACTTTGTTTTTCGTAATCCTCGACAAACCTCTTAGTTAAAGTAGTTTCCTTAATGATTCTTTTTCCTTCCTATTTCCTACAATTCTGATACCTATGTATCTAGTGATCTTACACTTTATCCTGCTAGATTTAGTGACGCTAGTTTCAACAAACAATTAATTCTGTGTGAAATGCACAACTCTAACAAGGCTGAACAAAGAAATCTCGTGTGTAGTCAAGCCGTCTCGAAGACAGCCAGCCACCACTAACCACTGCATTATTAGGGTAACCATAATTGTATTCTAATGAATAAGACTCATGTCAATGGCTGTAATAAACCATGTTCACTCAATACGCTCTGTTTCCTCGATATTTTTGAGAAAACTTAATTATTTTGGTGCCACTTTTATACCTTTGGATTCTACCACAGAGGATTGCTCAGATTTAGTGAAGGCTTATTTGGGTAGCAACCGCTCGAAATTCAATCAGCAGTTTAGTCAGCTAAATTAATTTAAAACCGCTGAAACCGCAACTGGTAGCTTGCTCAACCTTGTGGCTAAGCTAAACGTGAGATACATGACGTAATGGTCTCCGAACAAACGGGCATTCAATCCAAATAATGCCAAATGAAGTTGGGTTCAAAATAGAAAACGGGTACACTCAAATTTTGTATATGGCGACAAAACATGCCGTTACTAAAAAAATAGAAACAGTTTGTCAGTTATCACCTCTCAGCTCCCAATAATCTACGCAAAAACACAGAACAATAACTTGAGTTACAAAATCAAAATCAAAGATTTTACCAATTATCCAAACTTGTAACTGTAGGGATAACATTGGCGTCTAATCCAATCTTCAAATTTGAGCAATTTCAGACCTAATTGTTCTCAAATATTTCAGATCAAAAAGTTCCTAGGGCCATCGTTGCAAGTGCGCATACAATAGACGCTCTTTAGTTAGTGATGCTGGATTTCAAGCACTTAACTAATTCCTCTCACCATATCTAATACGTATAAGTTTGAAAATAATGAATGGCCCTTTGTGAGTTGGATTTTATTTAAACAAGTAAACCAAATTTCTCGATTTAATTTCATTTAAATTGGAAAAAAATGTGTGCTAGAAAGCACTAGAACATAGTCTATTTGATTTGTGGGGTGTACAATTTTCCTAATCTACAGCTGTTACAACAATTCGGACAAGAGAGCCGCAGCTAACACTTAAACGACGGACTTTCAGCTTGAATGCAACTCTGTAATAATTTTCCCATATGCCTTAAACCGTTAACTTACATTTACCTCAATCTCAAAATCTTTTATTTCTTCCCATAGCATGTGATCTCCATCAGCGAGCTTCATTTTCCAAACTTTCGACACTGGACAGATCATCAGAAACAAGGCGGTTTCTAGGAGAGGCGGTGGGGATGAAATGACTAGCTTTCAGTATGGTGTAATGGTAGCAAAGCCGCATCCCCTGTTCAAAACTTGTAAGACCGCCAATATGTACTCACCCCCTTCCCCCTCCCCCCCCCCCCCCCCCCTAAATCAACCTGGTTTCTCAAGCCCAATGGATTTCGCTCTTCCCTCCAGAGCAGACTCCAACGCTTCCCAGTTCAGATAGGTTTTACCAGAACGGCTGCATTAAAAATGATCTATCCCTCCTATGAGTACCAGGAATGGAAGAAAAGCCAACTAGAATCCAGGGTCCGACGGAGACTATAGAGGAGAATAAAAAGCAGTGGACTACATACGCTTGCTAGTGCTACTTTCTCGTCGGCTACTTTTTGTATATATTGCGTAAATTTAGTCTAATAAACTCCTATTCTACTCAGCGCGTGGTTAAGGCAGAATTCGGTCAATTACAAATGGGCTGGATAGAATTTCTTTTCTCTCAGCTTCTTAAGTTCAGACTCGCGTAACCTACTCAATTTTTTTACTTCTTTCGCTACAAATTGAATAGATTATAAGCACCATTTCCAGCAAAAAATCTTTATTAGGTACTGAAACATCTAAAATGCAAAATATCGACAGCAGCAAAAAAGGAGGGGGGCGGGGGAGAAAACAAAATAGTAGGAAAGCAGAAAAATAAAGTCTGATGGATGCGGGCATCAGATTTCAGTCTCATGAAACTCACCGACAGGTACTGACTGGAAAGAGGGCAAAAAAAAACTTTGTTCACTGCACATATCACACGAATTAGCACAGGAGGGGAGGGGGGAAGAGAAATCACTTAGTAAAGAAAAAAGCGATTACTTGGACCAATAAACACACGTATCAACGCGCTTACTTAGTGAGTAAGAGGGAGAGAACGAGTAGGTGGTTGGGTACAGTATATTGGCAACGCAGGCGCTCAAACACAAAAACTCGTGATGAAGTGGCGTTTCTTTGTTATTTACATAAGGTAAAATAGAAGAGAAGAGGGACAACAGGAGACACTACTACTCAGAAAGTATGTGATCTATAGGCAAGTCCTGAAATTGGCTGCCAGTATCAGTACCGGAGGGGTGGTCAGCAGCAAAGGTGGTGGAATTTTTCGATGGAGACTGTACATGGTGCTTACGGGTGGTACCCCTGTGCTCGGTAGGGTCTGTATTGTTTTTTGAAGAGGTATTGGGATCAAGTGGAATCAAGGGGGAATCCACATTAATATCACCCTCATCATTCTTACTACTACCTTTCCCGCGGTCGGAGAGATTGAAAACTTCCAGAACTAGAGGATCAACTTTACTAGGGTCAACGTGGAGTAGGATATGGCCATAGTTATCCGTCAAGGCCTGCAATTCAGCCAAATTGGTTAAGACTGCTGCCAAGAGGGTACGACCACGGGTGAAACCATGTCGAGCTTCTAGATAGTGTTTTAGTAGAAGAATGTAGCGATCGTAGATGTTAGAGACTGATTGACGGTCGGAAAGTCTAGGTCGATCGGGAGCAAAGAGACACAGGACCTGCATGAGAGCAACCAAATGTGAGTCCTTTCTTACAACGTCGGCGAAATTTCTACAAGAAGTAAAATAGACATTTAAGTTAAAATAGTTAAGGAGAGGAAAGGTGTTTTAACGATTGCTTGAGTATCCAATTTATCAAATGATACACACACTCAAAATCCATCAATCCTCGAGATGGTGGGGTAGCAGCCACGATAGTTAACAGTACACAGCCAGTGTGTAGAATAAACGACCACACGGTACAATGTCATGAATACGCATCAGCTCTTCTAAATAAATAAAAGCCCTGGTAATGATTCTACCCATTTGGATGAGAGCCACACTTAACTTGGCCCTGTAATAGAGTGCGAAGTGAAAGAATAAAATAGACTCTCTATCCGCATTCCTCCAAGTGATTGGAAATGACCGCCTTTAAGGATCTCTAGACGTTTAATGCCAAAGAATGCACTAACTCCGGTGTTTAACTCCACGTAACCATCACTGCACCAACCCCTCCGGCTTTTAACAGGCCTGATTCCGTAGATGCTCATATTCCAGTAAAATGAACTTCCTTGATCTAGTTCAGGTGCAGGTGATCAGAACTTAATAGTGCGAATGACCGAATCCAATCTGAGCTAATGGTTTTAATTACTGGGTGAAGGAAAAATCAGAGAAAAAGGGGAAGGATAAATAATAACATTATCAATTACTAAAGTTTTAAATGCTAGAAACTCCAGTAGCCATAAGTAATAGTCCTTAACCTGCAGTATTTAGCATGCTCCTCATAAAGATTCTGTAGTCCCGTAGCAATCCTCAGTATACTAGTTGGTATTTCACCCTTGGGAGTCACCCAGACATCCTTAACAACATCATAATGACTGGCCGAGCGAATAAAGAGAGCATTCAGCACAACTCCCTTGAGTAAGCAGATTTGGCCCTCCTGTCCGAGCACAGAGAAATCGGCAAGCTTTTTGGCGAAGTTGATAAATTTCCGTACGAGAAAGCCCGAGGTATTGACAAGGCTGCTAATAGTAATATTTGAACTACTTTCGGGTGCGTGATCGAATGCGCTGTCAAGAAATGAAGTCTCGTAGGCGCTGCGAAGATCATTCAGAGCCGTCCATTGGTGTTTCGACAGGAGGCGCGCCATTCCAGTCTTTAAGAAGCTAGGGCACAGCGCTATGCATTCCTGAAAAAGAAAGAGCAGGAGGGTTAATATCTCAAAGACAAATTAGTTAGGAATGGCAAACCACTAGAACCACACTTCTAACAACTGGACACTGAAAATATAAAGAACAATACAGTTCACCAGCTATTGCATAAAAAACCATAAATGATTTCCGTCCATTTAAAACGACGTTCACGCAAGTATTAAGTAGGCCGTTTAACAAGGTGATTGATTACCACAAGTACTAATTGAGCAAAAAATTTTACTTGCTTTGGAAAAAGAGGGGAATTTAAAAAGTTGATGAGTTGCTTTTAAGTGTAATGATCATTGAGTCACTTGTCATTGATAGGATATGTGAGTGCCAGATCAAGGTTAATGCGTGGTCTCGCACGAATTAAAGTGGTGATGCTAAGTACTCAAGAAAAGACAAAATACTTATAAAATAAAAATGCATTGACAAACGCTATGAATTTGCCAGGCCTTTTGACAGTGATGTGCCAAAAGAAAAAGAGTATAGAGAATAGAAAATGGCAAAACATCTGCTCCTCTTTTTACTTCAGTACTGTCCACAACATTGCCCAGATGACATGGCCCCCACTGTATTGGTCTAATATGTGCTTGAAATAACTCGTTTTAACCTGACATTATAAGCAAATATGCTAGCTACGCACTTATTAAATAAAGCATACTTCTAAGTTCCTAAGTTCAGGATGAGCCTCCTCTATCTCAGGACAAGTAGAGTTAAACCTATTATTATCTGTATGGCTCTCCCCCCCTCCCTCTTCGTAGCGGGTTTGTCAAAATTGGAAGACAAGACCATTTCCCCCCTCCTCCTCCCCTCCCATCGCCTTCCCTTCATCACGTTAGTGTTGGCAAAGGCCGACAATAAACGCGTGTTTCCCCGCCTTTTTGTTTATCGCCTCACTCAAATATAAAATGGTGGTTTAAAAACTTGCCATGGTCAATGAAAAAGTCATCACGTGACTATCTCCCGCTTTGATATGCTCAATTTGTAGATTTAATATCAATAGACTAAGGTGATTAAACAGAGTATTTATTGGATAAAAGGCATACTTTTGCATCTATATAGATCCAGGCCGTGAATTTAAAACTAAATGTACTCTCCATCAATGACAAAAAATTTCTAGCAGAATAAGAAACGAACTTCGAATATCACGAGTTAGGTAATATTAAATGGACTCACGAAATCCAAAACTAAGAGCACCAAATGAAGTTAAAACACCGAAATGACAGAAATCTCTTTTCAATAATGCAATACTGTGAATTGCATTTAACTGTACAAAATTAAGTGCCAAACAAACTTATATGATCTATTACAGCGCTAAAAAGATGCCGATTCTCACTTTATTTGACGGATCTTCAGGCTCCAGGGTCCATACATGGCCATCCAACACATTTTTTACTCCCGACTTGCAATCTCCATTCATATTAGAAGGAGGATTTTTCGGAGAGACCATAGCTGTGGCGGCAGATTTCTTGACATAATAGGGCAGAGTGGAATTTGTATCCTCCACTGATTTGGCAGACGCCATCATTTGGAGCCAATCGCCGGTGGAATTGATGTCATGGGTAGGATCATGAGAGTAGGCAGCCGATTCCATACCGGAGAATGAAGTAGACTGTTGTTGGTGGATGTCTGACGATGTGGAAGACATGACCATTGGGGGAGGAGTGTTGTGGAGATGATGGGGGGGATAACCACCTAGAAGATTAGAATGAAAGTATTGAAATTAATTCCAACTTGGATACAGAATATATATATATATATATATATATATATATATTTATAGCCGAAAAGTTCGTACTTACCCATAGAAAGCATTTGATTTTGATGCATGCCTTGGGACTGAAATGAAGCAAAAATATAAATTTTACGCAACATGGGTTTTAACTGAACTAACATACTTGGGGATTAACAAATAGGTTTGCTAGATATTTTCGTATTGGCAAGACCTAGAAAGGCGCAATCCGAGCACATGATAAAAACAATATGATTTGAAAATAGATACAAGAGGGTATACTTACTTTGAACACCCATAAATTTAAGTAAAAGAGATAGGGCATTGATTGGCCATACCTGAGGAGAGTTTCAAGAGTTTACGAAGTCTTGAACTAAGAAGCTTAGGCTAGATATCATCTTTAAAGAACAATAAGTTGGAAATACGGATCTACGGTCGCTTACTAAACGCTCAACATGGCTATTTGTTCGAATTCCATGGACTTAAATGAGTACAATCAACTCAGGGCATAGAAAATACAGGACTACTTAGAGAACAGTTTGGAAGAGAAATGATTACTCTAAGGACTTCAATCAGACACAACGGTGGCAAGTTAGAGATCACAGGGCTGAGACCCAACAGCCCCAAATAATGTCATTCTTTAGAAGAATAGCCGAGTGGGGAAATCAATCGCTCAAACTAAAACGAGTTCTGAATAACACTATCCCTCGCTATTTAACTCCAACTTTACGCACGGAAAAATAGGAAAATAGTTGTAAAACTCTCATTTTAAACTATTACAACATTAAATTTTTTTAATTCTTTAAATCCTAATATAGGTCACCTGCCAAACTAGGCTCAACACTAGCCTAAGAAAGTTTTGAAACGTGCGTTGACCTAGTGTGTGATAAAAACATGCCCTGTAGGCAAAAACACGGGCAACGTGTGGATAATTGCACTCCGTGTGCCAAGATCCGCTTTACTGAATACAACACTATACTATTCCCTGCTCATACTGTGGATTTTGTGTGAATTATCGCAAGTCTTGCTGATTGTATTATTTGTTTGTGATGACCCACAACATTACCAATACCTGAACCTGGAAACTCATGCTCAATTGCCATTAATTGGACTGAACAGAATTCAAATGGTCCGGTATTGGATTCGGTATTACGAGAACAGCCAGAATATATTCCAATGTCATGGTCGAAACCTTAATTGGAAGGTACATGATCCAAACACATGCTTACCTCTACAAGCAAGCCAAACAGTGAGAGTTCCCAACAATATTACTTGCCTCTGATAAAATTATATGTATATAAAAACAAAAAAAACATGAGTCAAAGAAAAAACGAAGACAGCCGAAGGCTGTTCTAATGATTCTTAGGTCTTTATTTCTGTGTCAGTGCAATTACCTAATAATCTCTTAAAGAAGCAAGCTAGCAAAAAAATGATGCTTACGCCTATTATGCAGGTGTCTTACAAGCCTGTATTTCTTGTCACAAGCACTTAGGTTGACAGCCCAAAAGAGAAAACCCTTATCGTTCTATCGTCAGAAATCAATAATCTTATTCCCTTCTTTTCATGTGGCAATTTAGGAAACTTTAAGTCACAAATAATGGCACAATACAGCTAATTAAGGATTGCATCTATTTTTCTGTGCTTAATGATGCAATTTTTTGAGGTGAGCATAAACACCCAGAAACAGAATAATTCCTAAATTAACATTAATCAAAGTGACCGTTGCACCCAAAAAGATAAAAGCATTTGGAGGGTGGGGGGGGGGGGGGGGGGGGGGGGGTGAAAGGACCATATGTGGATATACAATGCTCACCATTTGCCAAGATCCAGGGTTACTACCAATAGACACATCGCCCTCAAGTGTGACAGAATGTGATTCAGCACCACAATTAGATACAGGAGCACTGGTAGGCATCATTGAGTAGAACGAATTGGAACAATCTGAGGGCATGGGATGAGAAGCATGTTGATACTCGGAGGAGTTAGGAGAGCCCGTACTGCCATGGTAACAGATTGGAGAAGCTGAGATCACTACACCACCCCCACTTCCTCCACCACCGTCCCCACCAGCGCTTGTTGCGCCCTTTTGACTGGAGGCGACTTTTCGCTCGCGATTACGCTGAATCTTCTCTCTTCGCTCTCGCTTGGCTTTCTCATCTACAGAAGGGGAGACATGTTACAAATCGAACGGAGGACCTAGTATAATGAATAAAAGGCTTGATCCTAATTAGAATTGACGCATTGCTAAACAATAAGCAAGTATAAGAGAATATGGCTCTGCTATTATAAGATCAATATATTATGCCCAATAGCAAAGGAAGGAGACCTCTTATGCATTTCAGTGTAGAAGAGCAACGAAAATGGATTAATAATAAACCCAATAAATGAAAAAGAGGAGGGGATCGCACAAATAAAGTAACAACAAGTCCCAATTCGCTTGATTTTTTTGCATTCCGATTCTACAATATTCGTGCTACAACATTTTGTGATTTCATAATTCGTCAAATGAAATATTGAGCAAATTCTTGTAAGCGACATCCGGTGCTTATTCAACAGTTGTTTAACTATAGTGACCCCATTACTTCAAAGCATTTTACTTCTATATACCTAAGTAGAGCTGAGGTGGCTGAAATTTTAAATTAGCCAAATTCAATGAGCCTTGCTGAAAATTATATTCCTTTGTGTTCATATTAACTGAAATAGCGACAGGCTATTCCAAGCCTCGAATACTGATATTATTGATTTAGGCAGATTCCCGTATTGAATCGAAAATATCGTTGTCATATTGGCTCAGCCAAATCTCCAATCAATCAGAACATCTCGTTTTAACACATTACGCCGAATTTCAACCTATGGTAATTTATTCCCTGTTACCAGACTTTCATTCAGTAAGACACAAACGCACAGCACAGCCGCGTTCCGCCCTCATAGACGCAATCTCCACATCTATCAACTACTTCAAGCTTTGTTTTCATGCTCAATACGGCGCCCTAACCAAACATTTTATCCACTCTTTCTATCTTGCTCATGTCGTAAAACTTTAGACTGCAAAAAAAACAGAAGGTTGAAAATTAAATATCTTAGTTACTAAATCCCATCTAGAATGCTTCTAAGACATTTCCAATAATTGTAAGATAAAATAACCGCCCAATCGTTCATGATTTGAGCTAGACCAAAACAGAGGAATGGGAGTAAAGTAATGTAATATAAGATGCACTTACTCGTAGCGGCGAGGAACGAAAGCAAGTCAATAATCGATAGGCAGGTATGCTAAGGGCACAAAGAGGGATAAAGTAAGAAGTTAGACTTGGCTAAGAACTTCAAGTAGAGTAAGCTATCCATCTCTCTATAGATCAATAGATTATCACAAGCTACTCCCAATGAGAAGAAGAAGAAGAGTTTTCTTGGATAAACGCAGTGGAACAGAGAGGACAGAGAAGGGGGTGGGATGGAGGGGGGGAGGGGGTTATTTGGATTCAGAGCTCAAGGTAAAAATTAGAACGGATAGGTAGCCACAAAAAAACTCTTGCGCCTAGTGAACAAATAGAGGGAGGAAAATTACACACAGGTGGGAAGATTATGGAATTCTTATCGGTCACCGCTGAAGTGAAGGTCATTCACTCATCTAGAATCTCTGAAGTTTCTGATTATCAGAACAAATTGGCCAGTCAGGGAGAAAATATATATTAAACATTTTACCATGAGAAAACGACATCTTTGTTATGTCAGCTTTATTTCATTTATGTTATTGGTTCGTTTACAAATTTCAAGGTCATTAATATGTTTATTTAATATTTAATTAACTGATGCCTCCCTCCCTTTCTCTCTCCCTCTTCTAGGTTATTCGAGATCGGAATGTCGAGCTTGCTGATCGCAAAACGACCCCTAAATGTGAACTCGTAGGTATTGGAATCCTCTCCTCAGACAAGGTACACATGTAAGTAAATCACCGTTCATATAAGAAAACAATACTTAGATTAAAATTGAAAATAGCTCTTTTTCGTTTAGAATAAGCCAAGAACGCATGCGCACATGCAGGTAATCATGCATATACGAGGGATTCAAAATGCTCACCTTCAAAACTGCTTTGGAAAGCCAGTTGAAAGCAAACGTGTGTTCGACAGTGCAGGAACTATCAATACCACTTTGCATGTGGCGGGATTACACTTAAAGTACATTAGAAGTAAACTCGAATATGAGTATTATGAGAGTGAGTTCTGGGACATTGCTCGCCAAGTTGACTTTCATCTTTGGTGAATATATGCTCAAATACATATATATTCAAATTGGGGGAAAATGGAAGACAACGAAATGGCGATAGTTGAATCAAACACGAAAGGGAAATTTGCGTATAGTAATGCTGGTAGACACATATATTTTGCCAGTTTCAGGATTAAAATATTCGGCACCCACCTCTGTGAAAACAACAGAATCTCACTTTCTCAAGAGAGCAGTTCTAGGAGACCCTCCCTCTACTCGATTCTAATATTGTTTACACTTCTTCAAATTATAGTAGAGAAAAAAAGAAACAAAACCAATGCGACTTAAACTACAAGAAGGTAACATTTAAGCTAATAATATGGCTTAAGTATTAGCTAAACATTGATCATAACAATGAGTTAAAGAGATTCTCTTCAAGACGATGCAATAAGTCAAAAGAAAGTAATAACCCCAAAGGTGTAATGCCACTTCAGAAGGCAAGGATTCGAGAAGACTCAATGAGCGCTTACGTTCCTGCTTGCCGGTAAGGGCAAGACATGTCCATCAGAAACCAAATATCTTAGAAAGATGCTGAAATGGCATGAAGCAGAAAGAAACGACACGACACCTCCTGGAAACTCGAAAAAAAACGGAAAGCTCGAGTAAAAGGCAGTAGATAGCACCCAAAGTAACGACTCAACGGAGGCCTCAATTCAGGCCATTATTTGGTGCTCGATGATATTACTAATTTCAATTATGTGATACGATCATTCCAAGTGCATTTCAACTTAATTGAAGAATAGAGGGTGCATTGATGCATCTACATGATCTGTCACACCACTTCTATTACAATCAAAACATTTTTTCTAAGTGCTTGATGAAAAAAAGAAATATCAAGAAAAAACTTAAAGTAGTAGCTCCAAAAATTATATTTTGAAGGCAATAAAATTACAGGAAAAGTGATTCGGCAATTTCTTTAGTTATGGGCATACGGACCAATGAATTCCTTCCGCGTATAATCAGTATTTGTTAGAAGTAAGACAACAATACCCCCCCCCCACCCATCCAAATTTTAATTGGAAAATGAAGGACACTTTACCCCCCACCTTTTAGATTCCCCTTTATTCAAACGAGTTCATTTACGTCACGGTTGCAAATAGCGATAAGTAATTTGTGATAAGTGCACTTTTTTAGCAAATCTAATGGTCAATTACAGTACCCTCTTCCAGGAGAAGAGCAGATCATAAGAATTTGAGAACTAATACTATTATGACATTAGGAGAGTTTGAGTCAATCGATTCAAATAGAATAGAAATGAGAGAATGATGATTGTCGTTCCAAATGAAAAACTCTCCTCGAGACACAACGATTGGAGTATGGTTAACTTCCCTATCTAATTTTTCCTACAGGTTGCAATTGAATAAAAACACCAAATTACATGAACTAGACCAAACCAACAATCAGTAACTAAAATAGTCCTAAGATGCTGTACCTTATCTTCTTATTACTCCCCCCAAGGAGTTCTAGCAAGTCCCCCGTCGTAGCAGTGTCTTATTTTAAAGATCCAGCATCTCAAATACATTATTCCCTTCCAGTAAAAGTTTGGAATCTCCGTTACGATAGGTGAGAGTCCGGCTGTCGCACCCGTATAACTTCTATTTCCTTCTATAATTATATTGTTTCCAAGTGGCTCCATTTCTATAGCTTGTGGGTGCGTGGCTCAGTGGATAACATTTTCGTCTGTGACGTCAGAGGTCCTTTACTATCACCGATCCCACCGCCTAAGTCCGGCTATTAAAAGAGAAGAAGGGTGAGGAATTAAGTTTCTCACCAAGGGCCTGAATGATGCTTTCTCAAAGGTCAAGATGAGTGCTGAAAACGCTCCACCAAATGATCCACAACTATTGGTTATTAACTTCACTTTAGTGCTCATCTTTGATATAAAACACCTAACAACATCTCTCGAGTAATTCATAACATGATTGCAGTTAGTATTGCTTAATATAAAAGCACCTTAATGAAGAGACAATTATCTTTGACGTGTTTGGAAATTCTTGTTGTTGCTTGTAGAAAAAGGTAGCAACAAATTCAAACCAATTAGAACGGATAAGGATGAAAATGACATGTAATAAAAAGGCGATGAAAACACAACGTCTGTGTTACTGTTAATGCCTCATTAAAACCGAGTACAATGAGCTACTATAAATGGAATCTCCAAATAAATCGCATACTCAATAACAGAACTGGAGAAAATTAAACAAGAAGTTAATCCCACATCTATCAAACCCAATCGAAGGTGGTAAGGGATATAAATAGCATGTAAACGTTAGCTGATAGCAAGAAAGCCACACTATAAGGAAAGCAATGAATGCGCAATGGGGTGATAAAGACGTCAACAATCGTTAAAAAAAAGTTGATTTGATAAATGAACGCTGTGCATTCACTATCATGCTACCAGAAATGCAATGAATATAACGGATTTACGAGATGACATTAGCATTATGAAATGGTGAGGGAGACGAAGTTAACTAAATCAATTAGAACGGAGGGGGGGGGGAGAAGGGATAATAATGGCACGCATAATGACAAGGGGACAGAGAGCGAGAGAAAGTGGCACATGTTACTGAGTTCTAATGGGTAGCCATGTGCAAATGCGCTATTCCCAACCCCCAACTCCCCTCTTGAGTCGATGTAATCTATAAATGGATTAATAGAGAACAGAAGGGGGAATGGGAAGGAGATACACCAACTGAAGAAACAAAGGCAACGAAAAAAACAACAAGGTCTTCTGACTAAAGTATAATTAATACAAGCGTGTTTGTGTGTGTGTGTGTGTGTGTGTGTGTGTGTGCGTGTGTGTGTGTGTGCGTGTGCGTATGTGTGAGCACGTATTAAAGACTGTGTAATTTCCTTTGCCCCAAAAATGTTTAGCTTGAACCTACCCATTATGCAAGATTTTCGCATTCCTACAGCAAAACATTTGGAGAGACGACATGGAGAGCAGAAACGGCGCGTCTTGACCTGAATCATACAACTGTCGTTGAACAAGCAAGGAGGCATCTAAAAGGGAGAAGAGTTGTTCATCACCATTTCTTCCGCATCTATACGTAATAATCAATAATATGACAGAACAGACAAACACCATAAGTAGCAACTAGCCATCCATTAGAAGAAAGGCATTCCCAATTAACATCAACCGTAAATAATAGGATGCAGATTAGGTTATAAGGATCTTATTGACCTATTAAAATGAACTAATTTGATAAATTTCACCTTCTATAGGCATGGGAAGACAATTGATACTGGCTCCAATGAATTTTATCTACCATTTGCTTAAGTTAAACTTAAAACATGAACGCAAAAAAATTGAAAACAAATAAATAATCTACTTCTGTAAGATAGTAATCTTCACTCTAAAGAAAAAAACCGTTTCGTAGGCTCATAGAGTTGGAGAAATGCACAAACCAAGCAAATCTAATAAATACCATATCAGAAGGTAGACATTAGCATTTTATCAAATTCTTATCGCAACAATAGGAATCATTTAGTATAAATTAGAACAAAAAAATAGACATTTAGTTAATTACAGCATAATTGCGTTTTATTTGACGAAGTGGAAGTAGTTTGTATGACTGAGGCAAACGGACACGGCATTAGATGAAGACGAAAAAACATCATTGTAAACTTTAAATCAATAGAATGAAACCAGTAGAAGTAAAGTCAAAAATTGAAAAGGAACCAAGTGGCTAACCGCCCAAGTAAAGCAACTGATCAATACAATCTAAACATTGCAAACATGAAGTTAGTCAGAAGACTACGAACCAAACCAGTCAGGAATAATAGAGGCCACTTGCAGGAAGAAAATTATTTATTCCCTAAGAAAGCATAAATTCAGCGATTTGGAAGCATTTTTGACGATGTCTTGCCAATTACCCATTTCTTCATGGCTCCCGTCACGTTTCATACCTTATGGGATTAGATTGGGTTCCCTTATTCAACAGCTTTCCCATGATTAGAACTAGTGATGTGCTTTCATACAATGGGATAATTTCATTTTTGGATAAAGTTATTTAGGATCACATGATGTAGTAATGAGCAGTTGAGCATTGATGACAAAACAAGACAAGAAAGCAAGTTTGATCCAGATGTGTGTGAACCAATATGAGAAACGGTAAAGTAAATCAAGATAATTCATACCTCATAAAAAGCGCAATAAAAGCATATAATAATGATAAAAAACAGTAAAGAAAAGTTGACGATTGATAGGCGTAAATCCAATGATACAAACAATCCTCCTCCCCCTTCCTGCGCATCAGTGCTAAAACATGGGTTATGAATTCAATGCCCATTGGTGCACGCCAAGTGAGTGTAATGGCCATTAGCACTAGTTGAGTTTAGATGGTAATTGAGGTGGCAGAAATTTAGTTTCTCGACAGAAAGGCTCAGTTATGCCACTCCCTAATCTAAGACGGACGACGGAATACGGCTTCTTAAATAGACTTGGGAATTGCCATTATTGTAACACTTTCCCAACGAAGTACAACCAAAGTGCATCCATACTGGTTAAAAATTCCCGGGTAGCAAAACCGGTGTAGTAACTTGGTAAATGAAAGGATTACCAGTGGACAGAAAGATATATATATATGAGAATATTGTTTACATTTGTTTAAGTGATGCATATCTATGGCCGCCCGCAAAGACTAACACAGAGAAGTGATAGAATGATCATTTTTCATCAAAGAGGCTTCAATAGGCTACTCAGTTCCCAAAACTGTTGGGCAAAAAATACATTTCAGCAGACTTGGAAATTAGCATACCACCGTCTCATTAATTTTGATCCATCGATGCGTCCACGGCCAAATTATTAGCTGTTATGGATTTAATTCATATAGAAACGCATGGGGGAAAATCTTGCATATTTGTGAGAGAATACTTGAGAGTGCTTCTACCAAGGGACCTTCTCTTAATAAAGATGAGTAACAAAGGGAAAAATTTATTTCAAAATAAAGAGGAAGTAATCAATAACGATAGAGAGAGGTGGAAGAGGAGGTGGAGGTGGAGGTGGAGGGGGGGGGGTGACGATAAACAAAAAGATAAACAGGGAGACGGGGCTCGAAAAGCTCCAACTCCACCCAAAAGTGATATAAACACATCCAAATGACATCACAACATCAAAACACACAACCAGAACGGCACACTAGAGGGGTGTCATCTTCTGTGCTTGTAACGTCAGAAGCCAGGTTCACCCACTCGTAGCATTTCTTAAATCGGTGCTTGTGTGCGTGCATGAAAGAGCAAATGCATAATGCCGCCTATAAATACAACACAATGGAAGACCGGCACATGTCAACTATTATACCCTTTTCGTTTTTTATTATTACAACCATTATTTAAACTCCTTTAGTCTTTGTAAAGACCACTGTTTAAAGCTACAATAGAGGCAAGTAGACATAAGATGCCAATTTTATTGGAGTGCCGAGAGAAAAGGCAGATTGAATGTCATATTTAAAGCCAGTTTTTAAGCTACATTTGAATCGCCTAGGTAAGAACTCATACCCAGAACACGTAGCTATGTGAGGAATACAAAAATTGGCTACTGCTTATAAAAGCAATAAAAACGTGTCCCAGTCAACTCCTAGATAGCCTCTTTAAATAACACAAATGAACGGATACCTCATAGAGCTCATTTAAAGCTGCATACCAATTGATCTTCCCTCTCATATAAATTCTCTATTTGTCTCTTGATATTAACATAGACGACAACCCCCCCCCCCCTCCCCGCTTCTAATTCCGATAATAAATAGCTCCTCATAATTACCAACAAGAAAAAAGTTTAAGGTGTCTACTTAAAAACAGCTATCCATTGTCCGAGTTGCCCTTTCCGACTAATGTCTACTTGCAGAAAGACGCGTCAACGAGGTAAGTTTGCAAGAGGCGAAATATATCTTAATAGCCACGAAAAGGGCAGCTCAATTAGCCTACTTGAAGACCTTCTTGAACTTAGAAGCAAGCAAGTTATTCTGTATTGCATGTCTAAATTGGATGGCTTGTAGACAGTGAAGGCCGTAACACACAAACACAATGAAAGCCAAAAGGGCTAACTATTGATTCATTTTAAAGTCGTATATCAATTGCTCTACAACACATACCTAAGTCAAATAACTCCTTTCAACACATGTATCATAAAAAACGCAGAAATGTGAAAAAGGTCAATTCTCCTAACATTATTTTTAATTACGGCTGTTGAATTGGTAATGGTTTTTTTTCCTGTAGCATGAATGCAACAAAAAATGCCTCTTATATAAAGGCAAGCAAGGAAAAGTTAAGGCCATAAAGGGTAACACGGACAAGGCTTGAAATGAGAGTAAAGGTACCTTAGAGCGCTCTTGAGAGAAGCCCCCTTTCTACTATCCTCTTTATTAACCAAAATTAATCACTCACAAGAGTATATGCGCGGTGAAGAGAAACGATATCGCGACTTAGAAGATGCGCATGTTGACCACTGACCAACCGGTACATACCCACTCACTTACTTACGAGAAAAAAGACAGATTGAATGACCTACTGAACTGGAAGATATACCAATTGGCATACAATACAGAAAAACCACATATAATCACATTTAGATAATTAAATATACCCAATGAAGAACGCTTTTTTTAAAAAAATAACTATGTACAAAACAGAACGAAAATCACATTACCAATTATCAAGGTTGGTTATAGCGTCTACATAGACCCAATAATTTTCTTGCCAGAATAACTATTTTCAACCTTATTTCCTTTTCATTATGACGTAAGCAACAAAAAACGTTATTCATGAATGATGGGAAGAGTTAGGTCTAATCTAATGACCCCATATGAAATGACCTATTCAAAGTAATTTTGGAAAAGGAAATATGACTTATCTTCTGGGAAATGAATCTGAAATACGCTTTCAAATATTATAAACACCGAAGTTCATATACCAACATATCTCTTTCTTAACTCAAGAAAAAAGGGCGCATACATTAAAATTAATTAAAAACAGGGAACCCACCAGCTCTCCTATGCTATGTACATATTGAGTCTATTTATAACGATCCATTTCTATTTGTACGTATAAGTGCGAATATATGCGTGATGTCAGCAGGGAAAGACATCCCATTTACGACCATTATTTATAAATATTAATACTTATTAGGAGAGTGTTCCTTTTAACACAATTATAAGTTAAATAACTATCTCAATACGTAGATTAACGTTAATGAAAGAACCGCTTTCAAGGAATAGAACTATGAGTAGACCAAGTGTAGGTTGAATTGAGTGCCCTCGATACCTAATCGAGGCATAATTTTTGAAGGGCATGGCTAATTATGCTCAGAGAAATTGAAATATTCATTTTCGGACATAAGCATAACTCCCCTAAGCCTCAGCTTTTCACATAACACAAAATGGTTATTTAAAGAGCTCCATGTAACACCTGCCTAAATAAAAATAAAATACCCCACAAATTTTCCTGATCAAATTTGAGGTTAATAGGCTAAAAGATTAAAATACATAAGGATAACGAAGCACAGGCATAAAATTAAGCATTAATAACAACTAAGGAATTATCAACGCAAGTAAGAGTATGCGGTTTGGGGAAACAAATTTCACTTACGGAAGCACGAAGGGCATTGCGTCTGAAAAAGGCTTTACAGGATTCACAAGCAATAGCTCCAAAGTTGAAACCGAAAGCGTGATCTCCACAAACAGCACACGTCTTTTCATCCCTTCTAAGAGAGCTTGAAGTCTGGGGACAATTATTACTGTCACTATTAGTTCCCATCGTGAAACACCGATGATCGTCTCGAATAACACTATTCATCTGTGACGTAAGCACCTGCTTTCTAGACGTCATTCAATGAGTTAATTAAATCATCTTTCTATGAAGCAAGCCAGAGGCTAGTACGAAATATATAAGAAAAAATTAATCAATGGACTTGAAAGTATGCCAAAACCAATTAGACACATAAATAAAAGATTAAATCAAAATAAAAAATCTATCATTCCTAATCATACTAAATACTAATCCTAGGGTGTAGAAAAGTGATCTATTAAATATTATTTTATAAAAATACATTAAAATTTAGTTAAAAAATCTACTTTATGTATGATTTTAAAATATATAGACTTGAAAATCACCATAAGATTTGTAAGTATATTAAAAAGGATAATTACTATTGTGTACTATATTCAGAAAATCAATGAGACGAACGTCAGGATCAGTTCGGCAGTCGAAAAGCGACGGTATATATAGTGTACCTAAACGACTTAAAATTTCGATGTACCACACAACTGAAAGGAAAATCAATGAGTTCCTTAATAAAATGGTTACAAAAATATTATTATTTTTAATTCAAAATATACCAACACGGCATTGGGGGGGGGGGGGGGTGGGTCATCTATTTTTATATCAAAATATATTTTCTGGGTTACTAAAATCAATAAGGGTAATAAATTCCGACTTAATAATGAAATTTTGAGCCATTATCATATTTTCGTTATGAATGATGAATCGAAATAACTGTTTTAGCTTTCCTTAATCAAAGCTTTTAAATACTAATTAGATCGTCGTTATTGAAAATAACATATAAATTAATATATCGACTTTGGCATACAATAATTTTTACTAAGTTCAGGAATTGTAGGGCGACATCGAAATCATTCCACCAAAGGCAGTACAGGCAGACTTGTATATTGTGCTGCATGGCTCCCGCTTTGTTAGATCAGATATCGACGGCTGTAAACGACTAGTGACTCTCTTAGAAATTCTTGTATCTTAACCCACTATTTTTATTTGTAAATTGAGATGGTCTTCAAGTTTAGTTCAAAAATTTTTAACAATAAATGCGTTCGCCTTATTAATTTACCGTTTTCTATGAAATACTATTAGAACACGGACCTAAATTATGATTTATGTAAATTAAAGTTCAAGTATGAACACGGTTATTAAATAAATAATGCATGAATTCAATTACTACTGACATTTGGCAATGGATGGATTTCTTTTTCTGAAATACACTTATATGGTATTAAAATCCAATCTTCAAAGGTTTCCAAAAGATACAGTTCCTGAAAGTGTTGTAAACATTTATAAAGAATTTCCCAGCATACCATTTTGCCTTTTCTCTACGAGAGAATTTTCATCACTTATAGAGTTAAATTTTTTCCTTATCGACTCGGCGACTATGTATGACCCTCTATATCGATAGTTCTGATAAAAGATCAAAGGCAAAAGCAGATAAGCCCCGATCTTGAGTTTTCATGTGCGGTTTGTCATCAGCCAAACTACATTTATGTTAGGCAAATATTTTAATATTTAATATTAAATAGGTCAAGAATCAATCACATAATAGAACGAGATTGTATATCGCTTTAATTTAGACGAAATTTTAATATTACATTAATAATATAAAATGGTGAGTAGATGGCTTGGTAATAAATCGCAAAGTACGTGTTTTATTTCTATAATAGAATTCCAAGTTACACATATACTACACTACAAGCTTCATCAGTAAGTATAAAATAGGGATAGTTCGGCAGTTCGGATAGTTTGAAGGTGTAATGCCTAATGTGTAGATTTTAACTAAATTTCATTGATTTTGACTGTTAAATAAATATAATTTTTCGTGTTCGAACTAAGATAATCTACAATTTAAATTAAAAGGCTTAATTTCTTTTCTATTTAACAATAAAATAAAATTGAACTACGCGCTAAAGATGAAGTAATATATATATATATATATATATATATATATATATATATATGTGTGTGTGTGTGTGTGTGTGTGTGTGTGTTTCTACATCGGGTCTTGGTTCTCTGAAGTATCTGAGTAAACGCTTAATACCTTTAACTTTCCGTTCCAGGATGCCATAAATCGGACATGTGGAAACGCTTTCTGGCCATTCTTTAAGTTTCTGTAAGTTGTTCCATATTTCACAGTTTCAAACTTCACGTGTAGAACGAGACAAATGTGGGTCTAATAAAAGCACTTTATTCAGGTCATCAATTATAACCCCGAAAAGAGATGCTAATATGTTCTTGTCTACTCAAGCTACAACCAATTCCGAGTCCTTATATGAGCGACTAACTAATTCAAATACAAAGGAAGTTCAATGGGGAGTTAAAAATTAAATAACACATCTTCAGCTTCTCAGAATTAGCTAAAGTCGAATTTTCAGTTCATTATAAATGTAAATTAGTTACAATTACTGAAACTTCTCAATTATTTCACCCTTCGGTCGATTTATAGAACATTTGTCTTGTAACAATATTTCCATAATAAAATAATTTAGCCTGTACTGAAAAAATAATTTAAGTGCGATTTAATTCATAATGAAAATAAAGTCGATATTAGCTTTATATATTAAAATTAATACTAACCTTTATGTTTTATTGGTTGGATCGGAAAGCTCTACGTACAAATTACCACTGGTGCGCACTTCTCCGGTCGTGTATGTAGGTGAGCTCGTCTGATTATTGATGAACAACGATTGATTTGAAATCATTTCTAATCTAAGAATTTTAAAGTATATATTTTGGCTTTTGGATTTTTAAGAATTGTTCAAAATGGAGAGTACTCTTCCTTCTCGGGAATTTTTCGTTCTTCGTTACCCCGGAATTGTAAATAATCACGAGCGTGCCATTGAAACTCTTGGAGGCCTACAAGCATTAAACAAAGTACATTAGGTCATACTTCATATAGTAACGCTTGATCTTGCATTTCGTGTAGCACTTCCTTCTTTTTAGACATTCAACTCAATCACACGACGTTTACGCCTCTCATTCCGCCCAGAAATGCTTTTTGCTAAACCTGTCTATGGTGATCACAGATCTACAACATCTCTTATTATTCTAGCTAAACAGTTGAGGAATAAGCGTACCGGTGAAATTAAACTTGTTGCTGAAGTGGTCGGAACTGCGACTAGATTGTATTGTTTCAACGGTAAATATTTCATTTTCATTAGGTTTTTTTGTAAATACCTATTTATCTCAATGATCTTCGCATGTTAGGTATGGTTGACTTTCAATACGGTCCGTTTCAGAAGGCTGCTGCTAGCACTCCCGGACAAACCTCCAATGAAAGTAGCTCATCTCAGGATAATTTTCAAGTCTTTTATGATCAACTCCTTGTTAAAGAACCATCCCGTGTCCTGGACTCCTATTTCGCTACTCCTAATATGCCACTTTTTCTCCCTCCACTTCTCTTTACCCGTCTCGATCAGCCAACAGTATACTGCTACTCCTCCCGTTTCCGCATGAATCAGTATGTTGAATTGGAACAAAACAGTCAGCAGCACCCTTATCGTAAGTTCATACTGACAGATACATTTTTATTTCAAAAATTCGGTTAAGATTAAAATGCTTTACCAAATTTAGTGGCATTTGGTTGTGACTGTGAGCAATAAATGATTATCATTCTTCCTTATTTGGTTTCACATGAGCTATTGAATTTCATGAATTGTAATTTGCTTAAGTTCCAGACAATATCCAAACTAGATGTGAGTTAAGCTATTATCAAAAGCTACTGTGTTCTCCTGTTTACCTTCTGATTGCTACATGTGCTTAGTTTCGTTTTTTTTAAAAACTTATAGATCGGAAGGAACGCAAAAGCTTTGCTATATTCGTCAATTTTGGCGACCCAATTCCTGAAGCTGCTCATCCTGGGGCTTTGCTGGCTGTGACAAGCCAGGGCAACCAAACTCGAAAGCTAGCTCGTGATGTAGAGAAGGTAAAACACCTCTTGTTAAATATGTCCATGTTTTTTTTCATTTGCTCGAGTCTAACATCTATCTTATCTCGCAGTTATTCCAACATCGTCCCATTTGGAGTAAGGCTGCTTTGGTGCACAGTTTGAAATGGAAACGGATTCGAGAATTCGCTATTAAAACAATCCTTCCTGCTTATGCATACTATGTGCCTAATGGACCTTGGGGCAGAGTTTGGGTCAAGTTTGGTTACGATCCCTGCAAACATTCATCATCTAGAGTCTATCAGGTGAGACTTCAAATTTTATTTGATAATTTAAATCCAGGTGCCTTACTAAACAACTTGTTGAGGATCTCTTTTCACACTGTTTTTTCCTGTCTTAAATTCACCTGTAGCATTATTATCATATATTTCACAAATTCGTTCTATCTTTTTTCCTTCTTGAACCTTGTATTTCTATTTGCAGATGTTTAGAAAGTGGATGATAACATTATTCCCTTATTCTTTGACACTTAGCACCCATCTGGTAAGCGATGAGACTTAGTTAAGGTCTAGCTTCCTCGATGGTCAAAGTGATGCGGACTATAAAGGTTGCTCGTTATTTAATTATACAGAATCCTTGTTTCTTAATTAAGCGACTCCTGTATATTTTCCCTCTATTATAGTCAAAGTTTCTCTCAATTACCTTAGCGGACTTATGAATACTGAAGGTTGTGTAGTTACATATTCCGCTCGTATTTCAGACCGTCGATTACCGTGTACGCCTACCTCGACTTCAGGCCATGTTGTGTCTTTCCGGTCGACGACCTCGAGCTGATGATCGTGAAGATGCCGAGTTGTCGGGTTCAGATCTCGAAGAGCTTGGAGAATCGACTACTCTTGATGTTTCCTTAGCTGCTGCTCATGCTGGAGAAACACCAGAACCTGTTCATGCGTCGCAAAAAAGTGTAAGTTGAGTTCTGCATTTCCTCTGTAAAAGCCCAATCAAAGAACTCATCCTTATCTAATCTTTTCAATCATTTTTTTGTTGATTGTAAATATGTTGTTTTGTAGAAGTTATACTTCGTTCACCACTATTATATTTATTGGATGCTCTTTAATGGGTTATTTAAGGTTAGCAATTTAGAGAAATGAAGCTAAGGTGAATGACTGGTCTCTAAAGCTCACTCTTCTAAAACAGTGTGCTTTTGCAAGCTCTAATCCTTGTATGATAATGGCATTAAAGACACCCCTCATTCCTAATAACGTTGCCAATGCTAATGCCAAAAATACTTCATAGTCCTCGTATTTACAAGAATCGTCAACTTATCTCTAAGACAAGAAAGGGGCATCACGAGTTACTTGTACATAGCAACGACAACAAAAAACAACATCACAAGTGGCTCAATAACAATTTTGAATAGGTTGATATCCAATTTAAATTTTTTTACGACCTCAGTAGGCTATAAAATGAGTGTACTTTTGTTCCATTTCAAATGACTAACTCGAGAGCTTACACTTCCGCCACAATAGTAAACTCCATTTCCATAATTTTAATTTATTCATGAAAGTGACCGAAAACAATCGATTTCAAACTGTGAACTTTTTCATTGGCAAGATTTTTATTTCTTCCGAGTACCTAAATCGTGTGCCAGAAGGCGTTTTTTTGTTATTTAGAACATTAATGCATCTTTTGATCTCTTGATTTTTCCGCGTTTTATTGCCATAAATACTCTTCTTTTACAGACTAGTGCCTTCCTCTTCAGCAAGGACAGTTGGCCAGATGCGAAACAGATCCTCTACCAACTAATCGATATTGATATCCCCGAAGTAGTTGAGATGCTGGCCGTTCCAGTTTCAAGACAAAATTGCGACTCCATCTACGGGTGGATGCCCAACGATTATCAGAAAACTATCCGTGCTCTCATGACACGCTACCTGGAAACTTGGGTCAAAATGTCAAATCAAAGTGATCCAAGCAAGAAATAACCAACCTTATGGAATTTACGTTTTGAAAAAAGATCTCATTATTGCATTTTTCCTTGTATATGTGTACAGAGCTGAAATTTGTCAAATAAACTATCTATAGTATCCAGCTATTGTCCATGAATTCCTATTTTCTCAATGAATTTTGCTGTGATCTCGAATCTTTATACTTTGTAGCGATTGAAATGATTCCCCCAGAATTCCTTGACCCTATGACAACTGCTCGGCCTCGTAGAGCTTTTATTGCCTACAAGGAGGGTCTGGATTACACTTTCAATTATTCTGATCCATTAGATGCTTGCTCCAATTCAGTAGTGTGTGAGTACACTGCGGCAGCAATAAATTCCCGACCGGAGTGTATCTCCGTTCAACATTTTCACCACTCTGGCGTGGCTCAAACGCTTGCCTATGGTAGCAGTCGAGCGATATGTCTGGCCACTATGGTTAACAATGATATTCGAGTGTCCAAGACAATCTTTGGTCATCTCGATACTGTCAGTTGTGTTAGATGGGTTGATTCATTCAAGGGACCAAATGTTACGAAATTTGAAAGCTGCTTGGTTTCTGGTTCTGAAGATGGTATGATTGATATTCTGGGTCATATCTTTTTATATTATTAGGTGATGTCAAGCTTTGGAACATCGGAGGTAAACTAGACAAGGAGCTTATTTCTCTGAAAGTCCCTTCGGCGGTTATTAGTGTTCACGCAGTTTATACGGATGAATCGGAAAGTCAAATTGTTCTAGCAGCTGCTTCCAAAGAACAGATTACAGTATGGACTTTAGGACTCTCTCTTGTGGATGGGGAGGTCACGTCAGCTGTAGCCTCTAATGAAATAGCTATCACGTATACCTCATACACATGTTTAACTTTGCGTCTCTGGAGCCTGACGCCAAATCTCCTGGTTCTCTTCTCTGGAATGTCTTCTGGCAATACAGAAGTCAGGACTATCAGTATGGGAGAAAGTTCAGCACCAATTGCTGGAAGTCTCCAAGGCCATTGTGATTGGATTAATTGTCTGGATTGTATTCAGATGTACCCTCCAACAGAACCCACAGTGAAGGGTCAACAAATCCTGGTAGCGACCGGATCAAAGGATACTCAAATCCGTATTTGGCATTTGAATTTTCTTGAGGGGCCAGGTGAAGGACTAAAAGGTCAACGACTCCATCTTCCTGCGTCTTATTCCAGTTCTCATATTCTTTTAAGTCGACTGGAGAGTGTTATAAAAGGCCATAATCACAGTGTCACAGGGTTGGCGTGGTCTCCGGTCCCCTGGTCGCCCACATCTTGTCCCCAGTTGCTTTCTGCTAGCGCTGATAAAACCCTCATTATTTGGGCCCCCTCTGAGCCACTCTTTTCTAATGGTGGTGAAGCGAATTTGGTTAGTGAGGGAGCTTGGCTGGAGCAGGTTTCAGTGGGTACGGTGGGAGGAAAATCACTTGGATTTCTTGGCTGTGCTTGGGGCAACTACAACAATGAAATTTATGGACATGGATTTCGGGTAAGCCCTTTCCCATCATGAATCCATGAACCCTAATTTTGCAGGCAAGATCGTTAAGCCCTACACCACCATCGTGTGTAGTGGGCATCCGAATTTCTCACCAAAGGTTCAATGAGCTCACCTTTGAATCGTAGGTGGGAATTTGACAATGGGTTCACGAAACGTTATTTGAATAGACGAATAGAATTAGTGGTAATGATTAAGAGAATAAGTTGATGAGCGAGTTGGAAAATTACTCAACGAAAGATTGATCAGGTTAAGGACTCCATTTATCGCCTGTATAAATGAGAGAGAGAGTGAGAGAGAAAGGATGTCAATCTCGCACCAGAGTAGCTGAAGGTTTGACCAGCTAAAAGAGCAAAGATCTTAACTTTCAGGATCTAGGCATTGGAGAAGAGAAATCGATAGCTTGCTTAATGGCTGAGGGGTGATTCATGTGCGGAAAGAAATTGTGGTAGTACTAATGGGTAACAGTGCGCAGGCCTGAAGCCCCTACACATTCATAGCGTCTAATTGAGAGAATAGTTTTGTTTTCTTTGTATTTTGAAACTCAAACTAAAACCTAAAGCAATAAAATTATTTCACCAGAGAACAAATCCATTAAGATGGGTGGGTCTTGAGAGAGCAATATCTGTTTACCTAGTTTAATTGCATTCTTTGTAATAAGGAATGGCACGTTTCCAATCGCTTCCTCACAACTTGTGTTAGAAAATAGTATATTTTTCAAAGTAATTAAAGTATGATAGAGAATTTTTAAAGCTATTAAATTGTGCATCTCAACTACATTGCACTCCCCCCCCCCCCTTAAATTGTCTTAATTTCTTTTCTTTAGGGCGATTTGTCAACGTGGTCTACAGACGGTGAACCGCGCATCACACTGACCGGTCACTTCAATTCAGTTACGGATCTCTCCTGGTGTAGGGAGACAATTGATGGAGCTCCAATCAAATCCGTTGCTAGTGGGGACGAAGATGATTCCTTCATGCGTGCCTATCCCGCTTATCTGCTTACATGCGGTCTTGATTCCACTGTTCGACTTCATGGTCTTTTTTACACCGAGGGAAGCGGCTGTTCACCACCAGGTAAATAATTACATCTACTCGAAAGCTGTAAGTAGCTCTCCCTGACTGAATTGATTTTCCCAATTTCAGTTCGAATGTGGCGAGAATTGGCCAGACCCCAGCTGCATGGATATGAAATGAATAGTGTAGTCAGTATGGATTTCATTCATTATATCTCCGCTGGTGATGAAAAAGTAGGTCGCGTGTTTTCGGCTACGGAGAGCTTTGTGGAACAATTTCTCAGTGAAGCTACCATTCAAGCCCATCCTGGTTTGCAACACTTACCAATAGGTAAGTGAAAATCCCCGATCGTATTCAGCCTATTAGAATGAAATTTTAATATCTGATCTTTTTCATTAGCTGCCGTTCAACCTGAGCAAGGACTTTCGAACAGACCTATGATCGAGGCGGAGGAGCAGGAGCTGATTGAAACAAATCCTGAATATATTGTTAGTTTATTAACTAATGTTTTCTTTTTTATTTCACTTTTACTAAATGTAAGTGTTTGTGTTTAACTACGAGTCTAGTTATACTCTAACGAGGTATTTTTGCTGAGCTTTTTTTCTTTTCTTGTCTTTTGCCCGCAGAAAGATTTTCAAATTTTAAAGTAAATATTTCTTTAAGGTCTGTTTCTTCGCACAAAATGGATGATAACATGAGTTTGTGTCGAAGTATATATCGTTGAAAGAGTTTAGAGTTTCATTTCAATTCAAACTTTTCGTGACTAGCGCTTCATTTTCAAGTTCTTGATAGGGAACGGCAATAAGTTATTGCTGCAAATGACAAACTGGAAAGAATATTCTTAAATCATGAAATCGTAAATAATACAATATTTATTTATTTATCTCAAATGGCAGGCGTTTTGATAGTTATCATTAGCCCTTTATCGGACTTTGGGCTTTACAGAGTGGAAGAAACATCAAAGTGCGGACTTTGGGCTTTACAGGGAGGAGGAGGAGCGTCAAAGTGACAAAAAGTCGAGAGGGGGGACAAGATAATGATTCACAGATGTGAAAGAGATTGAGGGACACAAAGTCAGAGAAAAGGTAAGATGAGTACTGCGGAAGTTGGTCGAATGTGGCATACAGTGGGGTGATGTTAGTTTGAAGTCGGAAGTCAACTGCCGAATAATAGACTTTTTTGCCGTATGAGTATACGTTGTCCAGGGTGCTCCACGTGGAGGTAAGTCTATCACGCATCCCGTAGTACAATATTAATAAAATATTTTGAATTGTGAATTTTTTAACTAAGTCCACATTATTCATTTATTTTGGTCCCAATAAATTAGTGCTTTTTTCTTCACATTTTCAAAGTGAATAGTTTATACGGTTTTAGTGTTTCGTTCAGAGATGCCTGTTTTCTCTTTTTCCAATTGGCTATTTACTTTCATTCCCTTCTAACTGATAGAGTTGTTGTCGTTAACTTGACAATGAGCCTGAACTACCATTCATTCTTTCTGATTGTTCATTTTCAGGTTTTGGTATTACCTTAGGTCGCGTATTATTGATCCCTTATATATGGGGAAAGTGTCACTTTCTTTGGTCTTATTTGCTGGTCCACTAAGTGCCCTTATACGGGGAAGTACCAAAATAGAAGAACATAGGATTCTAAGGGCTAGAAGTTATGAGGTCAGTACTCATCAGTTCCAAGATTTGATATACTTTATCTAACTTTAACGCTTTTAACGTGCCTTCCTCTTAATGGACTTGGGATAGCGTTTCCTTTTTTTGAATGGAGTGGCCATATGCATAGGAATAACTTTTATTATTATTTACTATAATTTTTATTACTTTCAATTTTAGAAGCCGCCATATCCCCCCACGGAATCAGCGCTCACAGAGACAACACTCTGGTTGGAAACGAACAAGCTCTACGGCCACAGTAATGAGGTTAGTTAAATGGAGTGTATTCGTCTTTTCTTTCAAATTTTGAGCTAATGTATTTCCATAAATAAAGTGGTCTGTTTTTCAAACCTGCACGAAACAATCGAACAAACGCCCCGGCCAATTATAGCTTTTTGGTGTTTCCCAATGTACTAAAGGTGGAACTCCTCATGGCTGCATATCGGAATTTTGCATAAACTCGAAGTATTGCATTAGTGGCTATCTTTATTTTTTTGCCCCAAATTTAGATAGTTCATTCTATTATTATTTACCATATTGAGGAAATGAATTGAATAGAATGAAATACGCTTTGAAGGAAGAGGTCTGTGAACTTCTTCGAGTAATTCCTGTGTAATTTTGAAGTCCTAAACGTTTGCTATGTAGTGTTTAGTTCTTAAGATCGCATTCGTGGATACGTTTTCCAGTCATGCTTTGGCTCTCGGAACAGTCTTAAACCCGAAATGACCATAAGAGGGCTTATTTCTAGCTACGAAATAAATAAGAGGGTTGGTTGTATTTCTAATTCCTTTACGCACGCGATTGTCTGTTATGAATGAAACTTGTCATACTTTATTATCGTTTCTGTTATTTGTCTACCACTAATGACTGTCAAATCATTTGTTGCCTATATTATTAAGTTGTGTTTCTGTCTTTTAACGCAAACAAATAAGTACCTTTCAATAGTACCTGAGAGGTAATTTACACTAACACTTCTAGTAAGTTATGATTCTTGCCTATTTCGATTTTAAGCAGCTATAAGATGTTCTCATGGGGAAGCATTTGAATAAGAGAATTGTCAAGCCGAGTGGAGTGGTGCCAAGTGGAGTATAAGACGGAAGGTGAGAGTATGATGTGGGTACTAGATTCAGAACAGCAGGAATCTTATCTTACTTGAGTGCTGGAAGCATTGAGCCGTCGCATTTCATTATGTAATTTCTCTAATGTCAATTTACTAGGTTGGCTGCTGTGTGTCCGTATGGTGGATTATGTTTTTGACCATCTTTCTGCCAAGAACGGATCAATGAGTCTAGCAGCCAATTTTTTTTCAACACAAAAAGGTTCTAATAATCTTGAAGTTAACTAAAGAGGGTCAGTATTATTGCTCTTTAGGCTCTCTTCACTAAAAATCTTCTTAATACAAGTTACTTTCGTATATGATCTGGCAGACGAAATTGAGTTATGTATTACAATGCCCTTTACGTAGATTATTGCAAAGTGGGGGGGGGGGGGGGTGCTGGTGGAGTGAGGTGAGGCACCATGCTGCTCTGAGGCATTTTTCGTGCTCTGTTTATCTCCCACGTTATGTGTACTTTTCTCTCCCGTAGCTTCATAACCTCTTGGTATAACCCTCTATGAAAGAACTGCTGCTTTGTATTTTATATTTCAAGATTGTGAGTGAAATCCCTAAGAAACGAGAAAACGCAACGTCGGTGCTCTATGTTTTAGTAAAACAAGGCTTGTTTGTCTTCTAACTCACTGGTCATAGGCTTACCTTTCTATATATAGTTTCTATCGATGGATTTGAAGTTTTGAATATTCACCCCAAGCCAAATTATGCCATAACAGTCTTGGAATACAAAGCTTCCCCATAACATGTTATCAATGTAAGAGTGTGAATGAAATATCCTAGGATTTACTTATGGTAAACCGATGTTTTTTTCATAGGAGTAGTTAGGGGTTTGGTTGCATATACGACCATAAACCTGGTTGCAGACTCAGTTAGGTTTCAGACTTAATTAATCATCTGGATGTCTACCCATAACAATATATATATATGTATGTATATATCACGCTGAGAAATATCTCAGCGTCTTAGGCTATGGGCTTGAGTTTCAACACTCTCTCCCTCCACCCCCCTCCCTTAATACCAATAATAGGCGGATTTTCTAAGCAGTCTAGGAGAAAATGGTGAAATTCGTATTGTGGGCTGCGAAGGAGTGAATTAATTGTCATAACTGGTAGGCAAGGAAGTGTCTACAACCTGGTTTGAAAATGTGGTTAATGAGATTCTCCTGATAACCTTTATTGGACTATTAGGGTAGTTAAGATACTTTCTCTCCATTATAGATCGATAAATATTTTTCTACTTATTGAGCTTTTTACGTTGGTAAAACTTGTATCTCCCTTAAGTAAACTGGCTTGATCTGATTTGCGATTCCGAAAGTCTTATGTGGTGGAACTGCTTTGCGACCTAGAATTTGACATGCCCTCCACTTTCAAATTTTATAAAGTAACAGTTCCCAGTGTATGGCTCCTAATTCGAAATACATTATAATTGGTTTTAAAATGCGCGATTGATAGAATACCTGTACGTTGACATTTTGGAAGAACCGCAATCGAATATGCCTCTTCTGCAAATAGCTCTTGAGGTAGGCTTCCATCGAAACTCAACTCATTTAATGTCTCAAGCCAATTTCCTAGGCAATAAACACTCTAATTTCTAAAATTGGGATTTTTCAATTTTTTTCTCTATTATTTGCTTATCTTTGCTATGAACTTGAACCAGCTTTCTTCCATTAATTGAACTTATTGCCCCATCATATTTATTGCTAAACAGTTTGTTTTCTCTTTGTAAAACTTTTCTTTAAGCATTTTTATGTTCAGAGGCCAAGAGTTTTTTTCTGTGCGGGTGGTGTAGAACTCATTGTGGATACCTTATTCTCCTACTGTGAACTACTTGCTACTAAGCCGGTTAGGTGTCATGAAACTGCTAAATTAATAATTGGCCTCATTTACTCCTTTGATATTTTGAAAAAAATGAATATGCTATCTTTTTCTTGCTCCTGTTTTTTTTCGCAGGTGTATTCTTTAGCACTCAATCCCCAAGGCACTCTTCTTGCATCGGCTTGCAAGGCAGCTAAAGAGGAGTTGGCTCAAATCCTTCTCTGGCGTACAGACAACTGGCAAATTCATCAGGTAATCATCTCTTCCTTTCTTCAATAGCTATACTACTCTCTGTCGGCATTGTGCAGTACCTTGATATTTCCGCTCTCCACAGACTCTTCGCTTCCATCGTTTAACTGTTAGTCGGATGTGTTTCAACGCTGCTGGTGACAAGTTAGTTTCCGTCTCTCGAGATAGAACTTGGGCTCTTTGGAAGGCTGATGTTGGTTCTGGAGATGGAAAGCATCCAAATTTCCAACTCTTTAGGCATGCTGGAAAGAATACACATTCCAGAATCATCTGGGCATGTGCTTGGTCACCGGACAATAAGTAAGTTGTGTGTGATGCATGGGCGTAACAGACCAAATAGAGGATAATGCCCTACTCTGGAATGGCTAAATTAGCGACCATTGAAAAGATATCCGCCATTTCTAGTGAGCTAACTGCCGTTGAGTTGTCTGTCAGGATTAAATTATAGGGGATAAGTCAGCTGCAGATAAGGAGAACGATTTTTGCACTCACCTTCACGAAACCATGCCATGCTATGCTGTTTCCCATTAGTGCTTTAAATACTGCCTTGTTGGTGTGTGTTAATGGCTTGGTCGGTTTTGAGGACAAACAAGTGATGACTAACGAAATAGGTTCTTACTTGCTCAAAATGAGAAGCAGCTATGTTTTATTACATACTGAATTTTTCATGAACTTTAAACTCTTCATTTAGTTCTATGCTCTCATGCTTATGTTTCTCTTGTTTAACACAGACACACACATACACAAACTTAATGTAGAGGAAGTTGTGCATTCAGATATCTCCAGCACTTTTATTTTTGTAGGGCTTTCTTTACGGCCTCTCGAGACAGGCAGATAATGGCGTGGCATAGTGAGAGTGGAGAGCGAATCGGTTCACCCTGGTCTCTCTCTGAGCCCATCACTGCATTCGACGTTGGTTCAACCATCTCCGGCCACACCACCGCCTTCCTTGCTGCTGCCGGGTTTGAAACTGGTGGCATTGAATTGCTGGCGATATCACTGACCAACTTAACCTGCACCTCACTTTTCAAAGTGCCTGCTGATTGGTCACATATGGGTCTTTCTGTTAATTGTCTGGCTTTTCACCCAGTTAACAAAGAGGAGTCCGTACTGGCTAGCGGTGGAGCGGATGGAATGGTGCGAATATTCAAAATCAATCCTTCCTCCCTTATGAAATAAATGCTTGATAATATTTAAATTTATTATTTTTTCAAATAAATGACTTTTTGACATCATAACTATCTGCCTGCCATTGTTGGGAACGAAATTGGCAATGCATTATGCTAGTTTTGGAGTTAGTTTGCTCTATAAATCGGACTTTGTGTCTTATAAGTTCCAAAATCACTGAACGAAGTTTTCTTCTTTAATCATTCTTTTGCCAGTATATTAGCATCTGAAGGTCTAGCAATGAAGAATTCACTTCCTTTCGTCCATATATTCACCACTTTTACCAGTTGAATTTGCCATTTCAATCATTGACCAAATAATAATCTTCTTTCCATTGATCCAATCCAATCACTACGCCACCGACTCGTTGAAATTGAGTATAATTGGTGATTATCCCAGTAAGCACAAAATCACTGCCCCAGATGTCAACCATGGTTCTTACCATATTCATTATCTTGACCACATGTTCATAAGTACTTTTGCCATTCTTGAAAAGCAGTGCTATAGATCGCAGTCAATCGATATTTCATTGTATTTGGAAATATCCCGTTCAGCATTTCTTATGGATGCTGATCATTGATGGTAAAGGTCTCCAGACTCCTGCTGCTGTGATTGGCTATTTTTATGCTTCAGAGTCGATTTTCTCGTATTATCGCTTGTACGCTAATTTAATTTACTCGATTCCTCATTGTGATTTTTGTTTCTGATAAATAAAGTTTGCAAGCTGTAAATAATTCACCGCAGCCTTTTAAGACAGTTTTCATTTGGTGAAATTTAGAGAATGGATTATGAAAATTAAATTTTGGGGGCATGAGCTGCTCATTTAGCAAAAATAGCGTACAATCCGAATTTTAGCATCCAGCGTAGTAAGACACTGATACCCCGACATTGATCTGATAGACATTTTGACAACCTTCAATTTAACTTTTGCTGAACTTTCTGTTAGTCAATGCCAATTGCTTCTCACAGCTTAAAGGTGCAAATTCTTTGTGCTGCAGATGAAGCAATATTTACAATAGGGGGTGTGGGATAGACTTACCTCCTCGTGGTGCACCCTGGGCAACGTATAATCATACGGCAAAAAAGTCTTTTAACTGGCAGTTGACTTCTGACTTCAAACTGCCATGCCCCACCGTATATCATATTTGTCTACTTTCACAGTACTCATCTTACCCTTTCTGAGCCTTTGTGTCTGTCTGTCTCTATTACATCCGTGAATCACTCTTCTATTCCCCCCTCCCGAATTCTTCTCACTTTGATGTTCCTCCACCCCTCTGTGAAGCTTGAAGTCAACTAAAGGGCTAATGATAATTATCAAAACGCCTGCCATTTGTTATCAAAATATATTTATTATAGCCCTCTAATTTTACTATTGAGTTTGTTTCGAGTAGCATTGAAGACTAAAATGGGCTTGCTTTGAGTCGATTTTGATGGCGGTATGACTAAGTGCATCTATTCAACACTTAGTTCCAAACGCGGACTATACCGACTCATTTAATCCAAACCAGAGGAAACAAGACAGAAGACAGTTGTAATAAGTTAGTTCAAAAGAGAACGAAATGTGTGGCTGTGGTCTTTCTTACTTGAGCTTATTCCTCATTCCTTAAGTCTGTCCGTGTGGCCATCTAAGCTAGCGTATTAAGCTTATTTGTGCTGCCATGCAGTTTAATGTAAATAGGCAAACGCACACGCGCCACATCCAAGTCATCCATCTCCTATGTTTGTCACAATCACAGCTCACAAATACTCGTTCTGATCTTTCTCTTTGCCCTCAATAAAGCTCTAGTCCATCAGATAACTACTAGCTTTCCTCCACGCCTAAGAAAATGTAAGTTATTATGTGTACCCAGGCGAGGGGTAACTACCGGAGTTTTCCTAAAGTTATTTGGGGTTAGAAGTTAGAATTTAGTCTTACAGCTTTTCTTTATTTGGGACTGAAGTTTGGCTATTCCCATATGGAATGTGTCATTCCGAATACACAAGAATATACATATAAATATATTCTTAAGCGAAATATTTTACTTCTCTATCATCGCCCATGGGCGCTTATTCGGGTGGGCGATTATTTGGTTCCATGAATAGTTTCATTAAATGGAAATTTCCGTTTCGGAAAATCCCTGTCGTTAGTTAACATTAATAAAATGGTAATTTCGACCAACGAGAAGCTCAATTTCGAATAAAGCACTGCAATATAAGTGACTTTGGTCAAAGTATTACTTTAATTGAATGGTACTAGCTACTATTTGAATGTTAGTGATCTCTGCCTGAGATTCACAAATAAAAAAGGAGGTAAAAACGTGTCATGGCCAATGTTACTCGAGATATGACCTGCGCAGCTTGTGATGTGAATGCCATCTAGCATGGAAGGTAGTCGGTTTTAGCCGTCCTTTAATTCAATGCGACACAATTCTGCCCATACTTTTGTCCAATTTATGCCATTGTGAAGATCTATAAACAATGGGGTCTATTATAAGTAATTAGGGAAAAGATGATTCTATTTGCCCCATGTAGCCCTCGAAGGAAAAATTAATTATGCAGAGCTATTATATGTTATCCCTTGACGATATTAATATTTTATTTATTGAAATAACGCTTAACCTCATTACTGCCTATGTGACTGCATATTGATTTTTTACTTATTGAAATGTAATAAGAGCATGTTAATACAACGAGAACCTGAGTCGATTGTAACAATGTGAGATTAAACTTATATTCAGAAAAGTAGGAAAATGCGGCATTATCATTTTATAAATTTTAATTTAAAACCAATTTAACTTATATCCTCCAGTTGATCTTTAGTGAATAGGTGCCGTCAACCAACGTATGCAACCCTGCCTTTGCTCGAATAGAAATTGGAACTCATTTTAGGAATATATACATATAAATCCCAACAGCAAAATGTTCACGAAAAATGTAACTATTCAGGTTTAAATTTTGTGATCATTTTTTTCTACATCAGAGTTCTTGCTTAAATATATATTACCCATATTGATTATCGATTTGCCCTTTCTCCTTTCAGATTATGAATAAGACCCTTAAGGTGAATTTTACTCTACCTTCCCCCCCCCCCCATTCCTCTATTTTCCATGCCCTATTTCTTTCTCATCGGCAAAACTCGAAAGCTGATGTCCTTCGCTAGTCCCTTAATTTCATCACATGGGGGCGTGGAGGCGTGAGAGGGGAGGGGGGTAAGCGGGGGGCGGGAGGTAATTACGAAAAAGAGTAATTAGAATTGCTGACGGAGGATCACTTTAACCCGGGAAAGTGAATGTTTGTCTCGTTAAAATTCTGGAGCTTGGGAGTCAAAATTAAGATAAATTGAGGCCATTTGCTAAATTATCAGTAATTCTCCCCTAAATTTTAATTAGACTTTTGCTTATGCTTCGTGGAGTTCGTGCAAATTATATCCCACATAGGAAGATGCCTAAAGCATTAAACTTCAATTTATTATTATTATTATTATTTGTATCTTATATTGATTTACTAATTTGTTAGCAAGTTAAATAAGTTTGATTTCTGGGTTGCGTTCACTGATAAATTATTTCTGAAGTTCTCCCCACCCCTCATCCTCTACTGTACTCACTCTCGCACTTTAAAGTTCATGAATTTTTAATCGTATATTCTTCTGCTGTGCATTACTATTTACATCCCATGAATACGGAGCTAACTAAACACCTCAAATATAAATCCCACGCTGAATCACTCCCAGTTTTCTTAAAAATTTAGTTTCTGCTCCCAGCTTAGATTCTTGGCACACACTCATGGGAACATTTTGGACAACAACAAGCTCTGATTTATTCACTTCCTACACGTTGAAAACATGTAGACAATTTTTCATGCTATTTTAAATAATCTAGCTATCGGCCTCTGATCAATCGATACCCTCATAGCCAATAAGTGAGCAGCTTATAACCGAGGGCGCGTGATTCACATATTTGAAAATCTGACAACAAAGCGAGGAATAATGGGTCGACACACATTATTACACACAAATTAGGGAATTATAATAAATGATATTTTTACTAGCTCATTCCAACTTTTGTAAAATTGTTGTAACGATGGTAAGCAAATTTACGAAAATACCATATGCCATAATCTGCGTTTCGTGAATGGTATAGCGTCTCTTTCGACAGATGGCCATTAAAAAAGGTTCTTTCATATTCAAAAAAGTCTATATACAAACTGTGTTAAAATGACGAATTTATCAAAAGCCACTCCAGTGACTTAGTTTAACCGCATTTGTTGATGATTCATATTTAGACAAAAAAAATATTACAAATAGCTGATAGGTTTTATATGATTGAAATTCATTCTGAACTACACACTGTTACCAAAAGTAGAAGTAAAATTGCAATGGAAATATATTTATTTTTGTCAAATGGCAGGGATTTTGATAGTCATCATTAGCCCTTTAGCTGACTTCGGGCTACACAGAGAGGAGGAGGAACATCAAAATGGCAAAATGTCGAGAGGGGGGACAGAATATTGATTCACAAATGTGAAAGAGACAGAGGGACACAAAGGCAGAGAAAAGGCAAGATGAGTACTGTGAAAGTAGTCGAATATGGCAAACAAAGTCAGTGGTCAATTGCCGATTAATAGACTTTTTGCCGTATGAGTATACGTTGCTCAGGGTGCACCACGTGGAGGTAAGTCTATCGCACACCCCGTACTGGAAATATAAAAGTGTTGAATCGACTAGCGTGATATATTGCTTAAATCAAGGTCTTTATTACCATGCAAACGGTATGTTCCACAGGTGGTCTCACTCTTCTGTCAACATAAATTTTAATAAAGAATGTGAAAACACTCTACCAGCATTAATTTTATTCTAAAATGTTTAAACATAGAGGTTTGTCTATTAGATATATAGCACAAAAAAAGGGCTTTGAAAATGCCCACATATCTCAAATCTTCACTCTAAGGAAAAATTTAGAAGGCTTCAATAAAATAGTCCACTTTGTCCGTAAATTGGGCTAATTGGAAGGTAAACTGGATGGAAGAATTAGCTA